TTTCATTATACAAACTGTAGAAATGGCTAGTATATACATACATACACACACAAACATACATATATATTTATTAAACGTTTCATCATGCAAACTATAGAAATGGCTAGTATACACACACACACATACACACACACACACACACACACAGATATAATTATATTAAACGTTTCGTTACACAACGCTTCGTTACACAAACTAACATCATCCGTGCTAGTGGTATGGACTGGACGGAAGGGGTAGGCCAAGTTTGTATTTAGGGGTGTCTGTAAAAGCGTGGGAGGAGGAGTCCGCTGCTGGCTAGCATGGATGACGTCACCTAGCTTGGGTAACGAAACGTCTGTGAGAAAAGAAGGAAGGTCAGAGAGCACCAAGGACCCTACAGGTCCCCTTTCTCTGCCACTTCGCACGCCCCTCCCTCCTGATGATGTCCCCGAGTTGGGTGATGAAACATCTGCAAGAAAACCACCAAGCTCAGAGAGCACCAAGGACCCTACAGTCTTTCTCCTCCTTGTCCTTGTCCTCCTCTCAACAAAACCCATCCCTCTTAACAGTGATGATGTTACCTAGTTGGGTCATGAAACATCTGAAAAAAAACCAGCAAGCTCAGAGGGGCACCAAGGACCCCTCCTGTCAAAAGTCTTCAGCTGGTAACCTTGGAGGTTGGAAGGCTTAAGATTCCTGCTCTCCCTCCGGCTTCCCACCCGTTTCAATCCTCTCTCTCTCCCCCCTCCCTTAGTCCAGCTGCCAGCAGAAAAGGGTGTTTTGCGAGTCACCTTGGACAGGAAGGTTGAGCTCTAACACAGGTGAAGACAAGCCCTGTTCGATCAAGCGAAGAACCTCTGGTGTCTTGCTCTAAAACCAGCGTTCCTCAGCCTCAGCCACTTTCAACTTCAGGACTCGTGGACTTCAACTCCCAGAATTCCCTGGCCGTCTGGAGAATGCTGGGAGTTGGAAGTCCACCCTTCTGAAAAGTGGCTGGGGTTGAAAAACGAGATGCACCCAGAGGTGGGATTCTGACCGGTTCTGGAGAACCAGTAGTGGAAATTTTGAGTAGTTCGGAGAACCGGCCAATCCTGCCTCTGACTGGCCCCGCCCCCATCTCTTCTCTGCCTCCCATTGAGTCCCAGCTGATCGGCTGGGTCTCCTTTGGTTGCCCTGCACAGGAGAAGGGAGCTGGAAAGCAGGTTAGTGGGGTGGGGAGAGAAGGAGATTTTGCAGTATCCTTCCCCTGCTACGCCCACCAAGCCATGCCCACAGAACACTACACCCACCAAGCCACAGCCATAGCTGATCGGCTGGGTCTCTTTTGGTTGCTCTGCCCAGGAGAACAGAGCTGGAAAGCAGGTTAGTGGGGTGGGGAGGGAATAGGGATTTTCCAGTATCCTTTCCCTGCCATGCCCACCAAGCCAAGCCACACCCACAGAACCAGTAGTAAAAAAAAACTGAATCCAACCACTGGATGCACACACCCCCACCTCTACCCCGGCACAGCTTTTACCTGGTGTCACCTGAGTGACCAAAGACCTTGGCTGGGTCTGGACTGGAGTCAGGTTAGTGGTCACCACGGCTGAGGCCGTCACGGAAGTGACCGCTCGAACTCCGGGTGTAGACGTGAGGGTGACCAGTTCCGAGGAGGCGGCTGAGGTGCCGGTGGCTCTCTGCTGGGAATGGACCACCTGAGCGGTGGTGGTTCCTGCTCCCGAGGTCTAAAATGAAGCAGAGAAAAGGGGAAGGAATTTTGGCGGATCTGCGGCCAAAATTCACCTCGCCAGAAACTGAGTTGTGAGAGCTGTGAGGCCGGTTGCCAATAAAGTATTCTTAAAAAAAAAATATCGGCATTCGGAGCTAATTTTGGCCCTGAATCTTCCCTGCCTCTCTCAAGGGTCTTCAGCCACATCGGTAGCAATCTGGTCCCTTCATCTGACATGGCGGCACTGTTCTTTGTGAAGCCACGATGCATCGTGGTTTGTAACAGAAGGACAGGATGTCGGTCCAGAATAATAATTTCATAGGAAACGTTTTTAGATCGATGCAGCCAAACCGCTTTTCAAGTTTCTTAAATAGAGGTTTGTATTATCACTGAAGTAATAGTTGAAGTGTGGTGGTGGTGGTGAAGAAATAATAATAATAATAATAATAATAATAATAATAATAATAATAATAA